CGTCCAGCTCAACCTGCCCAATCTGCACCGCGTGGCCCGCAAGCTGGACATCGACTGTGTCCAGGCCGTCACGGGCTTCGATTTCCACGGAGGCTACTCCCACCCTGTGTGCGTGGAGGGCCCTGATGAGGGGCAGGGTGGCCGCTGGCGCGGGGAGGCCCGGCCTCTCCTGGGCAGGACTTGGCTCTGGATTGGAGGTCAGGCCTGTCCTGCCCCATCCTGGCAGCTGTCCAGGGGCAGCAGAACCAGGGACATGAGCGTCCTCATGATGCTAGGTCCCCAGGGGTCCTCACAAGCTGGTGCCCAAAGCTGGTCTGTGTCCTTGCTGGTCACTGAGCTGTGTCCCCTGTGGGGTTGGCCGGCAGCCGGGGGCCTCTCAGGTAGGGTCTGGGGACAAAGTGGTCCTGTCGGTTTCCAGAGCCTTTCTGCTGCCTGCTGCTGCCTGTCACCAGCTCACCCAGGACCCTGAGTGCGCAGAGGGACTGTGTCCCCTGCAGAGGGGAGCAGGAGGGGAGGGCAGGCGGCAGACTCAGGAAGGTCACCCGCATTGTGTCCCCACAGAACCGAGGGCTACATCGTCTGCGAGGAATTCAAAGACGTGCTCCTGACGGCCTGGGAGAACGAGCAGGCCCTCATCGAGAAGAGGGAGAAGGAGGTGAGCCCGGGGCAGGACCGGCCAGTGGGAGAGGGCGGCAGGACACCCTGGTGAGCTGGCCCTGCCCTGGCCCCAGGCCTCAGGGAGAGCAGGAGGAGCAGACGTGCTCTGAAATTCTCTCTGACAATAGGTTTTTGGGGGACCAGGGGTTGAAACCAGGGACCCTCGACCCCTGAGCTCTGTCCCCAGCCCTATTCTGCATTTTATTTAGAGACAGGGTCTCCCTGAGTTGCTCAGGGCCTCACTGTTGCTGAGGCTGGCCTCCAACTTGCGATCCTCCTGCCTCAGCCTCCTAAGCAGCTGGGATGACAGGTGTGGGCCACCAGCCGAGGTTCCCTCTGTTTCTCTTTGACTTCGTGAAAAGTGCCCCATGAAGTGAGCTCTGGGGAAAACAGCCTCCTGCCACCCACCCACAGCCACCGCCACTGTCCCTACCAGCCTTCCCAGGCCCCAGGGACAGCCAGCCCTGCTGCCGACACCAGCCGTCCCTGCACTGAAGGGAGTGGCCCAGGTCCAGGTCCTGGACGACCTGATCCACAGAGACAGTAACAATTCAGAAGAGGTCCTTGTTCTTGGTGGCTTTGCAGAATGTCATTTTCTTGGGTCAGACCAGGTTTTTTTATTTGTAACTTTGTTTTACTTGTTGCTGCACCTTTATTTTATTTACCTGTTTATTCGCGGTGCTGAGAATCGCGCCCAGTGTCCCCTCATGCCAGGGAGTGCGCACCGCTGAGCCCAGCCCCTGCCCCTGGGTCAGACCATTTTTTTGGGAATGAGGCTGGGCACGGGGGAGGGGCTTCTGGCCTGCAGGGTCCCGGGCGCGTCCTCCCGGGTCTGCTCCCAGACCTGTCCATCGTGGCGCTGACTGTCCCTCCCTCTGCGGTGCCCCCTGCAGAAGAGGGAGAAGCGGGCGCTGGGGCACTGGAAGCTGCTGACCAAGGGCCTGCTCATCCGCGAGAGGCTGAAGCTGAGATACGGGGCCCAGGTCAGTGTGCGCCTGCGCCCAGGGAGCGGCTGGGTGGGTTTTCGAGAAGGTGCCTGCGAGCGCGGACACCCTGACGCCCAGCCTGTGTCTCGCGCCTGGCCTTACGTGTTGGGGTGTTGCTGGAGGGAGGCCCCCGCTGGCTCTGCATCCGGGTGTCCCTGTCCTTGTGAGCAGCCGCCACAGGCGGGGTTGGCCAGGAGGCTGCGGTTTTCCTGGGGATGCGTCCCTCCCAGCACCTGCAGCCACCTGCACATCTCAGAACAACTGTCACGGCGCCTGCCATGTGCCAGGCAGGTCCTGGGTGCAGTGGGAGTGTGACAGCCTTAGGTCCCCGTCAGGTCCTGGGGTTCTGTGGTGGGTGGGATGGGTCCTGCGGGAGGCCCAGGGGAGGGCGCTCTGGGGACCCTCCAGTCCCCACCCCGTCCCTACGCCCTGTTCGCTCTTAGAGAATATTTCTGTCCCGTTCTGCACCCTCCCCTGTCAGGGGCCTGCGTCTGGCTTTGTCCTGATGGGGACCAGGCTGCCCGTGCGCAGTCCCCCTCCACCAGGGGCCCCCAGCCTTCCTGGGGTGTCCCCTGCCACCAGTCAGCACTGAGGAGGGTCCCCCACATCTGTGCAGCTCAGAGACACAGGCACGTTTGTCCAAGTGGGGTGACAGAGCAGCCGGCAGTGACCCTGGACATGGCCATGCTGTGGAGCACATCTGGTGTCCCCAGAGCGAGTCACACAGCATATTCTCAGGGCCCTGCCTGCACCAGTCCCTGGGCCAAGCGAGAAGTGCCCAGGTCCCGCCCCCTGCTGGTCCCTCCCCCTGTGGTCCCGCCCCCTGCTGGTCCCTCCCCCTGTGGCCCCTCCCCCTGTGGTCCCTCCCCCTGTGGTCCCGCCCCCTGTGGTCCCGCCCCCTTCGGTCCCGCCCCTGCTGGTCCCTCACCCTGTGGTCCCGCCCCCTGCTGGTCCCTCCCCCTGTGGTCCCTCCCCCTGAGGTCCCTCCCCCTGCTGGTCCCGCCCCCCGTGGTCCTGCCCCCTGCTGGTCCCTCCCCCCGTGGTCCCGCCCCCTGTGGTCCCTCCCCCTGTGGTCCCTCCCCCTGTGGTCCCTCCCCCTGTGGTCCCTCCCCCTGTGGTCCCGCCCCCTGTGGTCCCTCCCCCTGTGGTCCCGCCCCCTTCGGTCCCGCCCCCTGTGGTCCCGCCCCCTGCTGGTCCCTCCCCCTGCGGTCCCTCCCCCTGCGGTCCCGCCCCCTGCTGGTCCCGCCCCCCGTGGTCCCACCCCCTGTGGTCCCGCCCCCTGTGGTCCCTCTTCCTCTAGGCCCAGGGCTTGGCCAGGCTGGAGCTGGGGCAGGTGGCTGAGAGCGTCACTGCCCCCATGGGCACATCCTCATGGCTGGGTGCTGACGGTGGCCTGTGGCGCCCCTTGACTGTCCCCTGCAGAAGGAGGCGGTGGCTTCCCCCGCAGATGCAGGAGGTGGCCTGTCATCTGACGAGGAGGAGGGGACCAGCTCTCAAGCCGAAGCCGCCCGGATCCTGGCTGCCTCCTGGCCCCAGAACCGGGGGGCTGAGGATGAGGAGCAGAAGCCCAGGCGCCCCCAGACCAGGAGGGGGAGGAAGGCGGCCGCCGCGCACCTGTTCCCCTTTGAGAAGATGTGACTGAGGCCCGGCTCTGGGTCCCAGTGCTGGGTCCCCTCTGCGGAGGAGGCCGACAGAAGTGGCGATCCCCACAGGGGTGGGCCCCGTGGAGGTCGTGGCCTGAACCCCGTCACACCCCCAGGGTGACTGTCACAGCTCTTTGGTGCCAACCCCACTCTGCGCTGTGGGACCTTCCCAGGAGACACCCCCTGAGCCCCACCTGTCCTTCCCACCTTTGGAAATGTGGCCTTGTTTTTTAAATGCAGAAACACTCGGGGTCCCTGGGCAGAAGTGCCCTTAGGAACGCAGCCGCCCTTTCTCTCAGGTGTCCCTCTGTCCCCTACGGAGGGGCTGCTCCCTGCGGGCCCCTCCCTCTCCCCCGATCAGGCTGGCTCAGTGGAGAGCAGAGGACAAGGGACTGCTGGCCACCACCCATAGTGGCATTTGGGGTCTATGGTTTTGAAGTCACATTTTCTGATGACAGAAGACTTGAACACAGAGCTCAGGTCAGGAAAGAAACGGAAACGCCAACGGAGGGTCAAGGGACCACGCGTCAAGCAGGCTGGCGCTCAGCTCGGCCCTCCCCCACGGCTGGATAAATTCGTGAAGCTGCTTGTGCTGAGGATGTTCAGGAGAAATCACTTTTATAAACATTTGAGAAAGAAATAAAGCATTTATCTAAAAACACTTGGTTCGATGTTTTTTTTCCGATTTCCCATCAGCTAAGGGCTCCCAGACACAGTGGTCTCTGGGCACGTCGGACTCCCCGGAGGAGGCCAGCCTCTGTGCTCAGCCTGGGGTCTGATCCTACGTGGGGTTTGTCTTTCTCTTGGTTGTGCCCACGAGAGGACACGGGATCTCCCAGGAGCCCTCCAAGTGTTGACTCACTCTGATCCAAGAAAACAGGCAACACGCTGGGGGCTGACTCACAGGCAGGGAGCCCGGCTGGGCCACAGACCAGGTTGCTATGGAAACCGCGTTCTCACCCTGCACCAGTCTGCTGAGCCGCCGGGAGGTAAGCCACTTGTTTTCTGAGGTTTTATGACAAGGGTGTTGCATTTCTCTGGAGAAATAACCCATTCGGGCAGCTATTCGGAGGCGTGACAATGGAGGGAAACAGGGTGGTACACACCTGTCATGCCAGTGGATCTGGAGGCTGAGGCAGGAGGATCGAAAGGTGGAGGCCAGCCTCAGCTACTTAGCAATGCTCTAAGCAACTTGGTGAGACCCGGTCTCTAAATAAAATATAAAAAAAGGGTTGGGGATGGGGCTCATGGTCAAGTACCTCTGGGTTCAATCCTCAGTATATCCCCCTCTCCAAAGTCAAGTCCTTGTCCCAGTTTTGCAGATGAGAAAACTGAGACCCAGAGACTTGAGTTGCCCAACGTCAGGAGCCACTCAGTGGCAGACTTGGGAACCCAAACACAGGTCTCTGTGTGCGGGACCCAAAGCCACCGCCGTCTGCACTGTCCACTCCCCCACCGCTTCTAGCACATTCTGAAGACGGGTGAAACAGGAGTCATTCACTTTAAACACGATCAAAGCAGAGCAGGTCGGTGACAGTGCTGGGCATCTTGAGTCACTCTTTTAAAAAGACCTGAGACCAATTCAACCACTCAGAGCCACTTGGAACTGATTTCTAGAAATTCACACTGCTCAGTAAAACTTGGTGGTTGAATTGTTTGAACAAATGCAAAGTAACCACCACTGAAAAGGAGCCACCAACTTCAAAACCCAAAATAGGGTAACAGCAAAAGATTCAGACATTTATTTCACAAATTTTATCAAAAATACAAAGATAATACAAATTCCATGGTGTTTTTCCAAAGCTTCCCAATTATTTTAACATTGTTTTGCTATTTAGGAACCATCCTAAAGCCGTTTGTTTAAAACTCACAAGAAAGAAATGGCACAAGCCAAACCCCAAGGATTCCCTATTTAGCTCTCAGCCAACTACACGCATCTCACCTTCAGAGCATTCTCCAGGGTCCACAAAGGGAGTCGGCCCATGGACTAAGTGGAAGTGACGCTGTCTCAGTTGTAAATGCAGACACGTCACCTCTGGTGCCATCTCTGTCTTAACATGGATCCCCGATTTACAGCCCGGGTAGCTCAGAACAAGGAGAGTCACTGGGGTCAGGAGTCCTGACCCTGAAACCCCCCCTGGACATTCTGTTGCAGACAACCACCCCCAGCAAGGACCGAGCAGCTGTCACTGTAACCAAGATGAAGGATGGACGAAGGCTCTGTTAAGATGCGAAGGTTGCGACATACAGCATAAAGGGACAGTCAGAAGTCACGTGGATCCAGTGGGGTGAGTCGGATGAGCAGAGCCAAGCCTAGCAGGCACAGGGTGCTAGAAGTCACTGCTGCAGGCCAGGGACAGCAGCTGAGGCCGAGGCGGGTGTCCTCTGGGGTCACCGTGGAGGAGCCCTTTACTATGAGGCTTCCCACCTTTTCATGAGTGGCTTCAGGTGAACAGGTGGTTTGTGATGTCAGGATTTTCAGAAAAGAAATGCTGCCTTCCACCTGCTGAGCTTCCCAGGTCTTTGCAGAGGGAGAACAAATTCTTTTGCTAAAAACACTGATTTCTTTTCTTTTTTGGTACCAAGGATTGAACTCAGGGGCACTCGACCACTGAGCCCCGTCCCCAGCCCTATTTTGTATTTTATTTAGAGACAGGGCCTCACTGAATTGCTGAGGGCCTCGCTGTTGCTGAGGCTGGCCTCCAAGTCTCGATCCTCCTGCCTCAGCCTCCAGAGCCGCTGGGATGACAGGCGCGCACCCCTGCACCAGGCAGCGCAGTTTTGAAACACTAATTCAAAAGCATCTAAAAGCTCCCCAGTGTCCCGAGGTAATCCCCATCCCCCCAATTTAACACCTTTCTTGCTCTGAATTAATCTCATCTGACAGAGTCCAGGGTGTTTTTGTAACAGTCTGAAAGGTTGATTGTCCAGGAGTTTTTTTTTTTTTAAATCTTAAGACACCTCCTTGTTGGGACAGGAGGGGACACAGGAAGGAGGGAAGTAACAGAGGAAGACCTAAGTTGGACCGTGGCAGGTCTGGGCACTAAGAGGATTCTCCCAAGCCACAGAATAGATGGCAGTCCCAACAGCGTCCATTTTCCCCTGGACCTCTTTGGTGGTTTCCGTTGAAGTTCCAAGCGGAGTCCTGTCTGCAGACCTGGTTTGGGGCACACCCACTTCCCCGGGCCTCGTCGGCATCCGGGTCACCCAGTGCAGCCTAGCAGTGAAGGATGCCTTTGGGGTCGGGGGTGTGACGGGGGCCGTGGCATTTGTTCTCAGGGACGAGAAAGGACAATGACCAGGCTGACCTCTTTGTCACCAGGTCTCTGTGGAGCTGCTCCACATCGTCTCAGGCCCAAGGGAAGGGAAGGGGAAAGGAAGCCGGACAGGGCCCGCGGGGTCACTGTCCCTGAGCTGCTTTTGCCCACCAAAGCGACAGACTGGCAAGACAAGGGGCGGGGACATGTGCACAGAAGGACCCCAAGTCCAACATGCACACGGCTCCAGGGCCCTGTGGCAGAGGACAGGGGAGTGGAGCCCACAGTGCGGGTAGCGCCGGGCAGAGGTGAGGGGACCCGGGCCCCGAGCCCACGAGGGTGTCGGCGGGGCCACGGCCTCCTCACTCCAGTTTCTTGGCTGGCACCCGGGTGCGGGCGATGAGGATGGGCACCAGGGCCAGGCAGCTGATGAGGAGGGCCCAGAGGGGCCGGTAGAAGAGCCAGCCGGCAGCCACGGTCAGCAGGGTCAGCGAGGTGGCCACGCAGAAGGCAAAAGCTTTGAGGCCGATGTTGACCAGGTCCCGGAGGACAGGAAACCAGTCCACTGCGGAGAGGGACAGTCAGTGTGGGGAGCGCAGCAGCCTGGCCCTGGGGCCCTGAGCTGGGTGGCAGGGCTCCCTGTGAGCCACCCGCTCTGCCCAGCACCAGGAAACTCGATGCGGTCAACTCTGTAACCTGGACTCCACGTTGTGACCACCCGAGGCCAGCGGGCAGACATCCCCCTGTGGGGTTGGTGAGACCCCTGCTCCCTGCAGACTCAGGACCAGGATGCCGACTTCCACTAGGACCCAGCTGTGCTGCCCACTGCTCAGGGCGCCCAGTAGGCGGTGAGTCACTGAGGAATGGAGGGCTGTGGGCTCCTGCTCTCACGGGTCCTGCCTGTGGGTCACCAGGACCATGGGCAGCTAGATCCAGAGAGGGGCAGCAGGCAGGTCTGGGGACAGGCGCATCCTGACTCCTGGCCCCGATGGCGGCTTTGCTTGGGCCCTGAGCTCTCCCTGACGTGCCCAGGACAGAACCAGGTCTCCTGGACCCAGGTCAGCTGTCCACGGCGCCTCGAGGACTCGGCCTCCCCTCTCGGGGCCTCGGTTTTGCTGTCTGGGACGAGGGAGAGGGTCCCCCAGCCAGAGCCAGCGGGGAAGGGCTCCTGTGGGGGCCAGAGAAGCCTGGGCAGGGACACACTGGGGTAAGGTCCCCGAGAACCTCTGTCTCCCAAACCAACGGCCCAAGCCCAGAAGGCGCTCCCAGCTCTGACCCCAGACAGGCTGGGTCAGCTCAGCCGGGAGGCCGGCCTCCTCACAGGGCTGTCCCAGGGGGGAGCGAAGGACAGAGGGACACAGTGGGGCCAGACCTTCAATCTCAGAAGCCAGACCTGCCCCTGGGAGGTGGCCCCACGTCCCGCCTCTGGAAGCACCACGTTGCTCACTCGTGACTTCACGTCCATTCCAGGACAGCGCAGGGGGACAGACATGGCCCAGGCCTGGACTCGGCCCCAGGGAGGGACAGGCAGGGGGTGGCCCAAGGGGCCGCAAGACCCAGGCCCCAGGCCCCGCACCTACCCAGGGTGTAGAGGATCCGCGTCATGAGGCTGAGGCCCGTGAACATGGCCATCCAGCCGGCCGCCCGCAGCCCCCACGTCCTCATGGAGTTGCTCTTCTGCTCTCTACGGAAGGCCTCCTGTGGACAGGGCAGGGGGAGGTCACCAGCCGGCCAGCGGGCAGGGCAGGGGCCACGGGGCTGGACCTGAGGCTCGGGAGCTCTGGAGCCCCCCGTCAACCTGGCACAGTGGAGAGAACTTTCTGGAAGGCATAAGCCCTTCTCGGCACAGAGCCTCAGCGCGTGATCTCTGGAATGACACAGAGGGACCCTTCCGGTGCCCCTCAGCAACGGGGACCACTGCCCACCCACCCCGGAGCTGGGACCTGGCGGGCAGCCGCGGCCTGCTCCCTCCACCCACTCCACCTCCAGGGCTCCTGCTCCCTCACCCACATGCCCTTGACCTGCTGGGGTCCCACCAAGACCAGGTCAGGTGTCCTGTCACCTCTGGGCCTTGGCCCATGTGGGTGGCTCTGCCCGGCCATCCACATCCTTCTCGTCCTGGCTTAAATGCCACTTCCCCAGAGCCTTCCCGGAGCCCCGGATCTCTACCAGGCCCCGTCACAATCTAGTAGGTAACATTTACTGCATAATGATATCTGTCATCCCAGGGCTCGGGAGGCTGAGGCAGGAGGATCTCGAGTTCAGAGCCAGCCTCAGCAACAGCGAGACCCTCAGCCACTCAGGGAGGCCCTGTCTCTTAACCCCCTGTTCCCACCCCATGTGGTCGGTCCTGTCTCCCATGAGTCCTGAGTGCACTGCTTGGTCCTCAAGGTGACCCAGAGAGCAGGAACACTTGTCCCCTCTCACAGAGGACACAGACGGTGGAGGACAAGCCATTCACAATCCCCAGGCCCCGCGGGCAGTGCACTGAGCCGGGGGCAGGTGAGTGGCTCCCTGGGGCCCACACGGCTGGTCCCCTGCGCTTCCTGTCCCGGCCTCCTGACTTTTGGGCCTGTTCTCAGTGCCCTGGGGTGTCCTTGGCTCAGGGCCTTTTCTCCCACTCGGCAGAGACCCCACGTGGGGGTAGAGGCAGGAGGCCCAGGGCGTGGAGGCCGCGCACCCTCCCACGGCCAGGGCCTTCCCTGTGGGCCTACGCACTCACACGCCCCACCCTCCTCCCTGCGGGCAGGGCAGGAGAACAGGGCCTGGACAAGGCCTCCTAATTTTAGAAAGTCCCAGGGCGACTCACGGGGTGCCAGGCTGGGAGGGGCGGCCCCACCGTGAAGCCGCTCCCCGGGCTCCTGCAGGAGAGCCTGACTCCCCAGGTCCTGGCCAGGCACCACCATGCAGGAGGGTCACAGGGACAGGGGACAGATGGAGCCAAGGGCCCAGGAACAGGAACAGAGGGTCCCAGGTGGTCCCTGCGGCCTGCTCCTGCCCTCGCCCTCTCTGGCCCCTGATTTAAGGCAAGTGTATGTCCCAGCCAGGGTCCCAGTGTCCACCACCTCAGCAGAGCTGACACACGGTGACTCCTGCCTAGAGAGGGTGACTTCTAGGGCTCAGAACTGGCTCCTCGGTACCCCCTGCACCTTCCTCCTGCAGGACCTCCCTGGTGCAGACGGGGAGAGGGATGCCGATGGCTGTGGGGACTGTCCCAGGGCACTTGCCCCCACTCACCCGGCCCGGATACTCCAGCTCAAACCCCTCTGTTGCCCTCCTGATGGCCTCAAAGGGGCACCTCAGCGTGGCCTCTGCCCCCTGTTCCTAGTGTGCCCCACTGAGGGGCCCTTTCCTATCCCAGTCCCTAAACGGCCCGATTCCTCCAGGGCTGATACCCTCTCTTTATGTGGCCTCTGCACCAATGTCACTCCTTAGGAGCCCTCGATGGCTGCAGACTGGTCTCCGAGTAGGAGCCCAGGTGTCAGAGCAGCTCTCGACCCCTGTAACACCGCGTGGCTTTTTATCCGTCCGTCTCGGTGTCTGTTCTTTCTATTTCTTTTTCTTGCTGTATGGCAGTGGCTACGGTCACTAGCAGGGGAAGTTTCTGGAACAGCCCCTGGGAGGGAGGAGGGGCCGACACACCTGTTCCCCCTCCACGCAGGTGGGGCAGCGGCCACTCACCTCTGCCGAGAAGTCTCCATGATGCAGCAGCAGCAAGGTGTCCCCCGACTTGGTGGAGTACGGGACGAGCTGGTCACCTCGCTGCCTGGCGATCACAGTGACCTAGTCCAAGAAATCAGCGTCAGAGGCCCCTGGGCACAAGGTGAGGACCCCCACTGCCCGCCACACTTGCTCTCTCTGGGACTCCATGGCGACCAGGGAGTGAGTGGGGGGACCTGGGCGTGTCTGTCCCTCCTGGACTCCCCCTGGGCTGTCCCGCCCCCTTCCTTCAGAGCTCCAAGGAGGACCCTGGGCCAGAGGCAGGTGGCGGGCGGAGCAGGGCTGGGCACGTCCTGGACTGAGAGCCCAGGGGACGGCTGGCTGCCACGGGCCCAGCTGAGCCACCCTGCAGCCAGGCCATGTCGAGGTCACGTGGCTTCCCCTTCTCCTTGGCTACAGGATGGAGCTCCTGAGTGCACACCCAGGGCCAGGAACCAAGGCTACGGACGGGGAAGCCACCTGTGACTGAGCGGTTCTTGTCAGACACGATGAGGCCACCGTCCAGGACAATGTTTCTTTCTTTTTCTTTTGGTACCAGGGATTGAACCCAGGGACACTCGACCACTGAGCCCCGACCCCAGCCCTTTTTGGTATTTTATTTAGAGACAGGGTCTCCCTGCGTTGCTTAGGCCTCGCTATTACCGAGGCTGGCCTCCAACTCTCGATCCTCCTGCCTCAGCCTCCCGAACGGCTGGGGTGACAGGCGTGGGCCACCGCCCGGCCTAGACCTGCATTTCTTGGCCTGGGGTCTGGGGATGGTGGCAGGGAGGCACAGAACTCAGTAGCTGCTCAAAAGCAAAGCTTGGGACTGCGTGTGGGCGAGCGTGTGCGTCCCCAGGGGGAGGGGACAAATCGGTCACCACATTCTCCTGGGGTCTGCGCCTGGAGAGGCCCTGACGCCCTGACTTGGGGGAGGCCAGGTTACCACGTGAGCCGGGCCCAGGTCAGGGTCATCGCTGCTCAGTCCCGCGTAGGAAAAGAAGACGCGTAGGTCTCCAACCTGGGGGGAGAGACATGGGAGGGCGTCAGCAAGTGGCCACCTGGGGCTGGGCCTTGGCTCCTTCATTGGCTGGCGGGTCCCTCCCTCCACCTCTGCCCAGGCTGGGCTGTCCCCTCGAGGCCCTGTCCCCTCTGACTCTATCTGGCCACGCGCAGCTGTGGGTCAACACAGGGAGCCCTCTGGGGCAGGAGTGGGCCGCGGGGACGCCGCGCCAGGCCCTGGTCTCCGCTGTCCCCACAGCCCAGGCTGCTCTGTACCTCCGGGTACTTGGGGTTTTCACTGTGGTAGAAAAAGTCGCCCCGGCGAACGATGTCCACGTGGGGGTCCTCCAGCTTGGCCAGGCTCAGGGGCTTGAAGTTGTCGATCTTGTCGATGAGGCCTGACAGAGAGGCCCCGCGCTCAGCAACCGGCCCCGTGGGGACCTGCCACCTGCCACCCCGATGTCCCTCCCACGGTGCCCAAGCCCTCCGTGCGCCACCACCCAGCCGCACCTCGGCGTCCTCACACCTGGCCTCTCCCCCAGGAGGCCCTTCCCAACTCGGGCTCTTCCAGAGCTTCCCGGTGGCCTGTGTCACCCCCTCCCCAGGAGGGCTGCTCTGTCCCCTCTCCCTGCCGGGCCAGTGTCCCCTGCTCTGAGAGTGGCCCGGCCCTTTCCCACTGCGCAGCAGCTGAGCCACATGGTGGACGGGGCGGGAGGCCAAGCCTGGTCACTGGGCACCCCCTCCCTTGGACACTGGGCCCTGCCCATCTCGTCCCCTCCTGGGTTAGGCCATGGGGGTGTCTCGGGGTTACTGTGGCCCGTGGCGCGGCCTCATCCCCTGGGAGCTCCTCTCTGGAGTCCCCGAGGGAGCATGTGACACGCCATCCTCTTTTGGCACAGGGCTGTGCCCGGGTGGGGCCCACAGGTGGAGCCACAGGGAGCCCCGGGGACAGGGAGTGGCCTTGATTTTCTTGGCTGCTGGAGGGACGGCTCCCTCAGAACCTCTGGTCACCACAAATGGGCGTGGCCCAGGAGGGGACAGGGAGCTTGGGCTGTTCCCTGGACCAACCTGGTTTCCTGGGACCTGGCTGGGTGGGGGCGGGTGCTGCGTGGAGTCCCCACCTCCTGGGGACCCGCCTGTCCTCCGGCCCCAGCCCCGAGTAGGACACAGGCTGCTCCCGGCCTCCACCCCCGAGGGCCGGGTGCCAGGGACTGCAGCCCCTGGGAGTGGCCACGAGGACAGGACAGGGCCTGGGGCTGGCACCAGCTGGTCACCAGGGCTGGGACTTACCTGCCGAGAGGAAGAACCTGCCGATCTGGACAAAAGGGGCCGTCGCCGTGAACGACTCCACTGCCATCGCGCTGTGGGGACAGGGACGTTGGTGACAGGGACCAGGAGGGCAGCTGCGTGGAACCCTAGGTGGTCTGGGCTTGGCAGGTCCCACCCAGGGGGCTCCTGAGAGTCCAGAGACCAGGCAGGACAGATGTCTTCCTCGGCCGTCCCCAGGGCTCCTGCCCCCTCACTCTGTCCCTGTCCCCAGACCTCTGGTGGCCCACTGACCACGGCGGGGGCTCCCCTGGACTCGCACCCCTCACTGACCCCTTCCCGCCCTGGCACAGCCCTGACCACGGTGGCCCACGGCCCAGGCCCTAGTGGCGCTCGAGGGACACGCGGGCTCCACCACCCTGTGCGGCTGAGCTGACCCCCCTCTGCGGACACCAGGTCACCAGCCTCTGCCCCAGAGGCCCTTCCTGACAGTCCTCCAGAGGTGACCACCAACAGGGTCCTCCCCTGGTCTGTCCACGCCTGTCCCTTCCCGCCCTTTGGTCAGGCCTCCCGAGGGTGACTCGTCCGTGTCCTGGTCCCTAACATGTCCCATGTCCTCTTCGACCCCCGGGGCAGAAAGCCCGCTCCCATTGCTCAGATGGGGAAACTGAGGCTGGACAGGCCCCGGCCGCGCTCACCTGGGGTTCTTGTGGCCGATCTCTCGGTCAAAGTTTCTGCTGCTGACGACTTCTGACCGCCACTCGGTGTCTGCTCAGGGAGAGGGGACAGCTCAGCCGTACCCATGGCCCCGATGGCCGAGGCCCGCGGACCCTGACCCTGTGACACCAGAGGTCAGGGGACAGCTCCTGGCGCCCCCAGAGGGGAGGACTCCTGGGCTCAGTGCTGTGCCTGTCCCCAGCTCCACCCATGGGTCCCGTCCCGCCACGGGCTGGGGACAGAGGACAGAGGATGCGGCCAGCAGGGCCCTTGGTGGCCGGGCGGTACTCACTGTAGGAGTACCTCGTCTCCGTCTTCGTCTGCCCGTCCTCCGTGTACTCCCTGCAGAGAAGCACAGGGGCCACCTCAGCCCTGTCACCTGAGGCCCCCCAGGATCCGGGCACCCCCAGGGCCATAGGGCTACAGTCCCCAAGGGAAGGAGAGGGTTGGTGGGTCCCAGCCAGAGCCGGGCCTGCTCGGGGCACAGGGCCAGCTCCCTCCATGGACAGCCGCAGTCTCTGGTCAGGACAGCCCTGGGCAGGGCCCACGGGCCACCGTCCCCTCACACCCAGGCTGTGCAGGTAGCTCAGGGGGACTGAGCCCACCTGGCCGGTGCCATCATGCCCTGGACTCCCGACAGGCTGTCAGCGGGAAGGTGACCTCTGCTACCACGGGGGCCAAGGTGGAGCCCAAGGAAGGGAAAGGTGGGCACAGAGGCTGGAACGGGGGGCCACAAGGTGCCAGCGTCATTGGAGACCTGGATCCTGGAACATCCCCAACGTGCGCTCCCTGGGATGTCCCTGGGAGGGAGCTGGTCAGGCCCCTTTCATTTTGGAGCCACTCTGCGGGGGGTGTTGGCCATCCCCAAACGAAAGATCAGCGGCTTTTAACTTTGGGATAATCTGATATTTTTCTGGTACGAAGAGTCTATACTTTGAATTTCAGAGGCTTCAAAATGAAAGGCCTGCTGGGCGCAGTGCCCACGCCTGTCATCCCAGCGGCTCAGGAGGCCGAGGCAGGAGGATCGCCGGTTGGAGGCCAGCCTCAGCCAAAGGGAGGCCCTAAGCAACTCAGTGAGACCCTGACTCTAAATAAAATGCAAAATAGGGCTGGGGAGGGGGCTCACGGGTCGAGGGCCCTGGGTTGAATCCCCGGTACCCCTAAAAAACAAAAGCCGCTGCATTTTCTCTAGGTGCCTGCACCTCCTTTACCGGGCTCCTCACCTGGACTCCTCCGTCTCCACCCACTGGTACATCTCCACGTGTCTGCGCAGTTTCACGGCCGGAAGGTGGACTCCGTAGTTTGGATCAGACAAGAGCTTCAGAAGAGAGTCAAAGGGACCAGAAAATACAGGTGGCCCTCACATCCCCCCAGAAACCCTGGCTCGGGGAGGTGGGCTGGAAGGAGGTGGACAACGGGGACAGGTGGGGGCGTCAAGTGGAGCTGCCTGTCCAGTTCTTAACTCCTGGATATTTTTGGGGGGATACCAGGGGTTGAACTTGGGGGCGCTCAGCCACTGAGCCCCCTCCCCAGCCTATTTTGTGTTTTTTTTTAATTTAGAGACAGGGTCTCAGTGAGTTGCTGAGGGCCTTGCTAAGTTGCTGAATTAGCTGGCTTTGAGTTCACAATCCTCCTCCCTCAGCCTCCAAACTGCTCGGATTACAGGGTGCACCGCCGTGCCTGGGTGTCCCCAGTTCTTAACCCTTAATGCCCATGATGCTGACTCAGAGTACAAGGTCAGGCTGCAGGCCCCACTGCGTCATGCCAACACTCAAATAACAGCACAGCTGGTGTGGGCGGTGCACGTCTGTAACCCCAGTGACTTTGGAGGCTGAGGCAGGAGGATGGCAAGGTCGAGGCCAGCCTCAGCAACTTAGGGAGGCCCTGTCTCCAAATAGAAAGGGCTGGGGAGGGGGCTCAGTGGTTATGTGACCCTGGGTTCAATCCCCAGTACAAAAAAAAAATCATATCTACGACAGCAGAGCTCTGACATCCAGAGTTGTTGCGTTCCACGTGGACTGTCACCGCGAGAGCACCTGTGTGTGACCTTCCTACCACGTGCCAGGCACTGTGCCAAGAGGTCAGCCCAGTCCCAGGCCACGAGTGCACTCCGCGGCCGAGAGGTGGCGTTGGGGGTCACCCCGGTGTCTGTCACCCCCCAGGACCCACCCCAGAGCCTGCGGCAGGTCCTACCTTGGATGTGCGCAGGGCCCCCACAATGTGCACCAGCCTCCCCTCGTTCTCTGGGGCCACCACGTGGATGCTCTCGGGGGACACCACAAGGGAGAGCCCCTCCGCCAGCGAGGTAGCTGTCTTCAGCGCCCGGCCCTGCAGGGGAGGGCAGGGGAGGGCAGGGGACGTCACCTCAGGGCGACCTGAGGCCGCTGCCTTCACACCCGTCTCCCCACTTCCCTGCTGGGACTGAGGCTGCAAGACTGGGCCAGGCCCTGCGCGTCCAGGCTCCCCTCTTCCCGCCACCCGCGGGTTCCCATCAGCCCCGGCTCTCGGCCTCACGTGGGCACAGTGGCCTCCCTGTCTGCCTGGCCTCCCCCTCCCCTTTCTCCACCCCTCTCCTCTCCTCTCCTGGTCCCCGTGGTCCCCACAGGCCTTTCTGACCCTGGCCTCAGGCACTGGCTCAAAGGCCTGAGACCCAAACCCGGACTCAGAGATCCTTCTGCAACTTCTGCAAAATTGCTTTAGAAAGACTTGGTTTTTTTTTTTTTTCTTTCTCTAGGATCTCTGAGCTACTTGGACGTGAAACTGGAATTGCTGAGCCACCTCTGCCTGCCAAAGGAGGGCCCTGCCCAAGAGAGATGCCACAGCGAGAAACACAGGGAAGGGCTGAAGGAACGGAGAGTCGGGTGACCCTGCACGAACACCTGGATCCAACCATGCCTGAAGCAGGCTTTTCAGGAGTCTTGCCTACACCAGGGTGAGGTAAGTCACCACAAAATGAATTTTGATTCCTTCAGTATTATTCTTTCTCTATAAAAATCGAGGTCCTTTATTGCCAAATGCAGCCTCTGGATTTATAGTCCCTGTTCCCTGATACGCTGTGCCCACGGGGACACGAGACATTTTACCTCATTGGTGAAAATTAAGTAGAAGGACAGGAGGAAGGTCATGAGCCCCACGAACATTCCCCCCGAAGTCTCGCTCAGCCGCTCCAGGAAGCCTGGCTGGGGGTCAGAGGTGATCTTGACATGTTCCCTTCTGCTGCCTGTGTTGGAGTACTGAAGGGAAAACCAGAAAAGAAATCAGAATGCAAATCAGCCTTTAAAAATACACTGGATCTTGCTACCCAAACTGTGTTTATTGAGCATAAATTCCATGAGAGTGAGTTTGATCATATATAGTAAAGCCGCAGAGCTCTTCAGTGACCGTCAGTGGGTGTGGATGACAGATCCTGGGGTCTGAGGGGTCCCAGGGCCAGTCCGTCAGCTCACCTGTAGCTTGGGAGGTGGCCCTGTGTGATTTATGGGGACATCTGATAACACTCCTGCCAGCTAACGCCCACATGGCTCTACCTCGCCAAGGCACCGAGCCACCGATACTGTACCCTGGGGCTCTCAGCCCGTCCTGCACATTGGACTCTTACCCCCATTTAACCAGTGAAGACAGGGGACATGGAGGGTTCAGATCATTTGGCCAAGGACCCTGGCCCTGGGTGACGGAGTGGGAACTCACCCAGACCCTGTGCTGTGATGGCTGGGCAAGGCCTGATCCACTGGCCCTGGAGTGGGAGCCTGGATCCTGCCCAGACATGCCCGGCCCCTCCTCTCCCCACAGGCGTCCACAGCCCAGCAGATGGCAGCTGCTCCCCAGAACCACTCCCAGCCTCCACATCCCTGACGCTGCCCCCCAGACCCCCTGCTGGGGATGCCCGTCCTCCAGGGTCTGCCTCCAAGATCCCCCTCCTCCAGGGAGCCCGCCTGGGTACCCCAGGGGAAGGTGGACTCTAGCCCTGGACCCCCTCTCTCACTTGATCTCCTAGTATTGTTGGTGGCCATGACTTGACTGCCACCAACAGGGCTATCTACCCCTCTTCAGACCCCAGAGGAACCATGCCCCTCCAAAAGCCCAGCTCCTCGTTACTGAATTTAATTAAAAATGCATTTCTAGCCCCACATGGTGGCGCATGCCTGTCATCCCACGACTCAGGAGGCCAAGGCAGGAGGATCGTAACGTTGAGGCCAGCCTCAGTGACTTAGCAAGACCTTGTCTCAAAAAAAAAAGAAAAATCAAAAGGGCTGGGGGTGTGGCTTAGTGGTTAAGCACCTCTGGGTTCAGTCCCTGGTACCAAAAAAAAAAAAAAAAAAAAAATACATTTCTAATAATCTCTTTGTCAAATAGCTTGGAAGTTACACACATATTTTCCCTTTGATCCAGCGATTCCACTCCTAGATACTCGGTTAGAATCCCAGCTTCAGGGCTGGGCTTGTGGCTCAGTGGTAGAGTGCTCCCCTAGTGTGTGTGAGGCCCTGGGTTCGATCCTCAGCACCACATAAAAATAAATACAATAAAGATATTGTGCCACCTACAACTAAAAGATATATAAGATTATTAAAAGTATATAAAAATATATAAAATATAAAACATAAAATATAAATAATATAAAATATATAAAACATTAAAATATATATTTAATATATTGAAAATACATTAGAAAAAAAATTCCAGCTTTGCCAATCAATTGCTGTACAACCCCAGGTAAGTTGCTCTGCCTCTCTGACCCTGTTTGCTCGCTTGATGGAAAAAATGTACTCATCACAGGCTGCTGTTAGGCGAAATTCAGTTGCCTGCCTGCTCCACCTTGCTGTCTTCAGGTCTCTTCCTCACCTGGTGAGGCCTGGTGGCCCCATGAACGTGTCCCCAGCTATTGGATGAGCTGACAGGGCTGGGCAGCAGAGGGAGCTCAGATGGTCAATGCTGTTCACTGAGGGGTCAGATCCCAACATACCCACGATGCTCTCTGCCCACTAGGGCCATGGCCATTGGTGCCAGAAGCTAACAGCCCTCCCTCAATGTCACAGTTAGGGATCCCAGGAGGAGACAAACCCAGAGACAGTAGGCACAGTGGGAGGGTCTGGATTCCTCCCCACCCAGGTCTCTTGATCCCCTCTGTCCCTCTTGACACCTTCCCATGCTGCAGCCGCCAAGCTGGCCGAGAGACCCTGGGCAGGTGCCTTCTGCCAGGGAAACTCCCATCTGTAAACTATGGGGAGGTGGTGACCATGAGGTGGCTTGGAGGCCACCCTACCCTACTCCTCGTGGACCACCTCTGGGGACTTTCAACACCCCTCTTCCCCCAGGACACCAGGCAGAGCGTGCCAGGGCAGAGGGTGACACAAACCGTGGCCTCTCAGGAGGGGAGGGAGGCAGCTAAGAGGCTTGGGGACAGAGGAGGGACCTGGAAAGGGAGCCTAACAGGCCGGGGGAGGGCGTGTCTGGGGCTGGCGGGCTCCCAACCTGGCTCCCAAAGCACTTTCACAGAGAAGGCGGGTGACTCACGGCTCCTCAGCCCGCACCCAATGGAGAGAAAGTTCCCCAGGAGGACGGGGCACGGGGAAGGAGGGGACCCGATCGCGCGCAGGAGGACGGGCCCAGGGGACCCAGGGCGGCTCCCCTGCAGCCGGAGGGCTCGGCGCACAGACCCCCGAGGGCGCGGACGGCCCCGCAGCCCACGCTGGACAGCTCCACCGGCGGGACCGGCCTCCCCGCGCTCCGGATGGACGGGCTCAGCCCCCCAGGGCCCGTCTGGCTCCCAGATCCCACGACATTCAGGACCCAAGGTCCAGGAGCTGGGCATGCGGGGGCGAGGCCTCCCGAGGGGCCCGAGTGGGGAAGGGGTCGGCCGAGGACTGCGGACCGAGGAGCCGGAGGCGCTGCACCGGGGGCGCCGACACCGACGTGCAGAGGGACAGCGGGAGTCGGATCGCGGAGGGGACCTGCGGCGGCCCGGTGACGGGGCAGCCTGGGTGTGGCCGGGCGACCCGGAGACACTCACATTCGCGGCCATGGTGGGACCCGGCTCTCCGCCGCCGCCTCGCTCTGCCCAGCTGGAATGACCACCGGAGCGCGGGATCTGGTGGCCTCCCGCCTGTCCTAGAGCTGCAAAAAAAGACACCCGCGCAGAGTCCCAGATCAGGATGAACTTGCTACGGAGTTACCGCCCCGCGGGGACCCAACTTTCCTGCGCTTGCGCGCCGCAAGGCCTTCTGGAAACTGTAGTCCAGGGTCAGGCGCTTCGGCCACAAAAATTTCGACCCGCGCCGTGCCTCACCGGTGCGCCTGCGCGCTGCAAGATTTCTGGGAAATGTAGTTCCTGCTGCCGAGGGGGAGCGCGGCCTGCCGGGAAGTGTAGTTCCTGGCTGAGGCGGTCGGGCTGCGGCTGGGAAGGCGCGGAGGCAGGCGCGCGGCGGGCAGGCCTGGAGGGGGCGGGTCCGCGCGGGCCTCAGAGCCGCCCGCCCTGCCCGAGGAGAGCGAGGTCACGGCGTGAAGGGGTAGGAGCCGCCGCCGCCGCCGCCGCCGCCGCCGCCGCTCGCGAGGGGCCGAGCGCCAGGCCCGCCGCCATGGCCTACTGCCGGCAGGAAGGTAGGCAGGGCGCGCTGCCATGGAGACCGCCCGGGAGGCCCGGGGGCGACGCGCGGGCCACTCAGTCCCCGCAGGTCCCCGGCGCCCCGCGACCCCGCGGCCGGCGCAGGCCACCGAGGCGACGCGCATGTGCCCTCCAGGGGACCCTCGGGGGCGGGCGGGGCGGCGGGGTCGTCCAACCCCGGAGTAAAGTCGACCAAATCGAGCCCCGAGGGGGACACGGGGTGGCCCAAGGTCACGGTGAAGCTCGAACCCGGACCCCAGAGGGGCCTGCACGTGGGAGGTCCCCAAACGGGCGGCGGGGCGGTCGCATCCGGTAACGGGACCTGCCGGGGACGCGTCCTGGTCGCCCCTGCGAGCACCCACGTGGTCCCCTTTGTACGGTTCAGGGACTGAACCCGGGGGTGCTCACCCCTGAGCCCCGACCCCAGCCCCTTTTATGTTTTATTTAGACACAGGGTCTCCCTGAGCTGCTTAGTTGCTCACTACAAATTGCTGAGGCTGGCCTCCAACTCGCGATCCTCCTGCCTCAGCCTCCCCAGCCGCCTTGCCTCTGCGCCGGGCTGCACACACCTTTTTTTTTGTTTTTTTTTTTTTTAACTGTCCTGGAAAGTTGCCTCGTGGGCCAGACCGTGCAGTGCTGGAGTAGTGGCAGCAGTGGGAGCATTTATTGAGCTCCAGCTGCATATCAGGCGCCATTTACGCTTTATAAGTCTGATCTCATTGACCTCTCAGCGACCTTGATAATTCAGGCTCTGTTATACCGCCCATATTTTATGGAGCAGTAAAAGTAAAACAGGTGGCTTGAGCAGAACCACAGAGCTGGAGGACTCCCAGACCTGGCAATCTGGTTCTAGAACCGCATTGTTCAACCCAGTTTGCGGTTTGGACCTCTCTGCTGGGAGGAAGTATCCCTTGGCCCTCCTCAGAGTGTCCCCCGGTCCCTCACTTCCTCTCTGTTTCCACCTGTACCCGGTGGCTCAGAAGAAGCCCCCTCTATGGTAAGGCCTGTGGTCACCTGAGCTGCCACCTAACCCCTCCTCCAGTCCTCAGTCCAGCCTGGGAGGTGGAGAGGCTGGACTCCATTCATTCCGCAGAGGTCACCAGGCACATTCTCGGGGCCAGAGAAGGCGGGTGATGGGTGCTTGAGACACCCATGGAGAGAATCAAAACTCAACTAGGGATTAACGTTTCTTGATCCTTTAAAAAATCCGTTGATTCGGGGGTTTAGGAAAATGATCTCAAACCCCTTCCTTTCCAACCTGCTGTGTGTCCCTCCAGCCTCTTCTGTCCCCTGCCTGGCCGCTCTCCCCTCTGGGTTTATTGCCTTAGCCAACTGTGTCCTTCCTCCCACCCCCTGTTGCTGACTCCTTGTCCTGTAAGATCAGCTCCCACGGGGGAGACCACCCAACCAGATGACCTGACCCCAGGGTAAATGGTGTTGTGGAGAAATCCGGTGGTAGCTGGTAAGGATTGAAACAGGGGCCTTCCTTGACCCTTTGTGACTTTCACATTCTAGATTTTCTGAAATTACCTTATTTTTTGTCTTGTGTGTTTTCTCCCGCCAACCTGAGAGCTAGCACCTTATAATAGGTGCTCAGATCTTCTTTGGGGGGTAGGGGTGGGGGACACCAGGAATTGAACTCAGGGGCACTCAAGCACTGAGCCTCGTCCTCAGCCCTATGTTGTGTTTTATTTAGAGACAGGTCTCCCTAAGCTGCTTAGGATCTAGCTTTGCTGAGGTTGGCTTTGAACTTGGGATCCTCCTGCCTCAGTGTCGCGAGGGGGCAAAATTGCAACGTGTGCAGTCGAGGGGAGAAATAAAGAGTGTGCACGTGCTTCTGCCCCTTTCGATGCTTTATTCTCTCAAATTACTCCATACAATTTCACTCTATAGGTTCTTAATCAAGAAAATGACAATCCTTAATGCCAGGCACTGCCATACACATAATGCATTCACAGCAAGCAATTCTGGATTAATTCTAGGCACTGCAAAGCCCACTTAATCATGACAGGCTGGTGACAGACCTTCCCTCTGCATGCTGACTTCAAAAGTCTCAGCCTTAGGCTTTAAGTCCAGCAGATGCACACGCACTCAGGCCTCAGTGACCAGGTCCAGACCAAGGCAGGCTTTTCCTGGTGCGGAGTGGACGACCCGTGGAGGAGAGGGTCCTGGGGAGGAGTTGGGGCTCTCACCAGGGTCCAGACAGGCTGTAGAGTTTGAGAGCCGTGAGGATCACGCAGAGGATCACTGATGACAAGTGATGGGACGTCAGGTGCTCAGGGCCCTCCAGCTGAGTGCATCCTTGTTCCGGCTGCTCATTGGCTCTATCATTTATACTGAATTTGGGGGCTTTTGACCCCCATTTCAGTCCTTACCAGCTCCCACCGGGTTTCTCTATTAGATCATTCACCCTGGGTCAGATCACCTGGCCTGGTGGTCTCCGCCCTGGTCTTCTGGCCTTTCCCTCTTACCAGGCCACGACAGCCCGCCAGGGCTTCACCCTGTTAATCAGGGGGAGGGAGGTGACTGTCTGAGGCCACACGGGGGCCTCTGTGGGTACCTGGGGACACTGCAGGTTCCCAACTGGAGTTTTACAGTGGAGTTGCCTGGGCTCAGGCCTCAGGCCGTCCTCACACTCAGCCTCCAAGCCCTGGGGATTACAGGTGTGTGTCACCTCCTGTGTGCCACCGCGCTCAGATTTTGATGCGATGACCTGTGCCTGCCCTCTGTCCTCAGTGAGTCATGGCTTGTGCACAATTATTGGGAGGCTCCCCAGCCTTCAGGTTGAAGGCCGCGGCTTGGCATTGAAGGCCACCTAGCGTGGGCTCCCTGGCCTTGGGCTGCCCACTCCTGCTAACGCAGAACCTGCCTTCTCCTGTTCAGTGTACAAACATTTATTGAGCACCTGTGGTGTGCCAGCCACTGGGCACGGGTAGCGAGGAAAGTAACTCTCTCTGTGCCTCCTTGGGTGGCACGGTGGAAAAGGTTGGATGACCACATTACCAGGTGATGGCGGTCACAAACCCTGGTAGGTGACATGGAGACAGTGTTGTGAGAGGCTGGGCAGGGGCTTGGTCAACACTTTCAGTCCTGACCTGGTGCCTTCGGGCTTTCCCATGGCGGGGACATTTCTTTCTGGAAGGCCTTGTCCCTGTCATCCTCCCCTAAGGTCTTGGTCGGGGACCTTGCCCTGGTGGGATCCCACCCATGGGCCTCCTCCTCGATGGCAGCGCATTTTGGGTTCGGGGCTCAGCGCAGGGTGGAGGAGGACGGCTCCCACTTCCAGATCTTTCCTGAGGCCTCTGGTTTGCCCGGGACTCTCCTGGTCTCCTGTGTCCTTGCCAGTTGATGCCATTGTCCCCTGAGTGGCATTTCTGGAGAGGGCAGGGGCCCTTCACTCCCTCTGTCTAACCCGTTTCTTGATTCTCACTGAGCTGGGGAGGGAGGGCGGGCGGGAGGCAGGACTGCTGGTGGCACCTGTTCTCTGAGACCCAGAATGTTCCTGTGACAAGGAGGCCGGCAGGGCTGGAGCCGACGGGTGCTGCAGCCCTCGGGTGCTTGGGGTCCCGATGTCACTGTGCGCCGCAGGGTGTCCTGTGCTTAGCCACGACCTGGAGACATGGATTCCTCTTTGGTTTGGCGTAGTCCTCTCACCTTGGAAACGAACTCGAGCCTTGGAATATTGTATTTCTCCAGGGAGGTCCTGAGAGAGCTCGTGGAGCCCTGGCCTGTCTGGTTACCTGACCAGTGACCATCTGTGACTCTAGCTCCGTCCTCAGGCAGGTCTGTTGAAGAGTCGGCGGCGCTGACTTTGCAGCACATTTCAGTTTTGCTCTTCTTGATGGTGCTGAGGCTGCCACTCGGGCCTGGCACTGCTGGGTGAGCGCTGTCCCTGGGCCTGGGCACATGCTAGCTGAGCTCCTCTGGGCGAAGACGATCTGCCCCTGTTGGGGACGGACAGGGGACGTCCTGATGGGGAGCACTTTGCATAGGGTGCAGGCCTGTAGGGATCAGCTGTCACTGCTGTGCCCCCACAGTCTGAGCGACGGGGTATCAGGGGTGCACAGGACGCCTCGCCCCTGGGGAGGGACAGGGGTCATCCTTGCATTGTGCTGGGCTGGTGAGCCCTCTTCCACTGTGTGTCCCTGTCCCCTGAGAAGCACAGACATGCCAGGCAGCTTGACTCGGCTCTTTTGGGGGAGGCCAGACTCCACAGATGCTTCCAGAACGTGACCGCGTTTGGACCTTTTGGGCCTCTGCATCAGATCTCGGTCAACAAAATTGCCAGAGCCCAGCTGTGAAGTGTGCGCCCGCTCTCCTGTGCAGCACAGCTGCAGGCGGCCGTTGCCAGGGTTACCGGGCGTGCTGACAGGGCCTGGCCAGGTTCACATCCTCCCCGGGCAGCAGGACACACGAAGTGTTGAGGCCCAGCCGGCCTCAGCGGGCAAAACCCAGGCGGGTGCAGGCCCCAGGCCATGTCACAGAGAGGCTCGCCTGCACTGCCCACCTGGTCCTGGAGACCCTGCGCAGGTGTGAGTGGGGAGGAGAGCACACTGGACTGTCCTTGTGTCCCCTGATTTGTCCTCATACACGTGTCACCCGACTTT